ATTCAACACATGCTGAACTTGTTGCAATGGCACAAGAAGATTATAACCTGGACATGAGCACAATCACTGTGGACATTAGATACTCATTACCAGCAGAAATGATGATGGCTCCAGACATCCCTCCCATTCATGTTACAAATGATAGACAAGTTCGTAACTTGCTCGAGATACTCAAAACTCATCGAGTATGTCTTTGTGTATCAAGCTGTAGCAAGGTGGAAACGGTTTCAGAGGAAAGGGAAGAAGCTGATGAATGGTTTGAAGATGATGAAGCTGATGAATGTTTTGAAGATGAAGGTGATAATGAGTTGGTTGAAGATGAAAATCATGATGGGGAGGAGGATGATAAGGAGGAGGATGCTGAAATCTCTATTTGCTCTAATGTTGCTGAAGCGGATGAGAATGGTGAGGATTATAGTGTTTATGGAAAAGTTAGAGATGAGGATGAGGAAAAAGATGATGATGTGGTTTTTAAAGATTACAAAGATACATATGCTATTGAAGGAGAAAAAATGACAACGAGTATATTTTAGTATAAAATCATATGTTATAATTAGGTTTTGTCTTAATTTAAAGAATAATTTGATATAATTTGAATATTTTCAAATTATTTAGTATAAAACCATATGTTAGGGTTTAAGCGGCGGTGAGAGAAACGGCTTTTGGAATTCTAAATTTCGAGAAAAAATGACAACGAGTATAAAAATGGTTAGAGACAACGTTTATGTTCATCTTTTCCTCAATCAATCCCTCGACAGTAAGAGATATGACTTACCGGCGTTAGGGTTTACAGAGAAACGGCGCTAGGGTTTAAAGGAAGCGGCGGTGAGAGTGTTGATGAGCACGGTGGTGAGAACGGTGAGAACGATGATGGGATAGGTAACCGGCGGTGAGACGATGGTTTGCTCGGAAATCGCCTTTGAGAGAAACGGTTGGAATTCTGAATTTCGCGAAAAATGAACCAAAAAAAAAACACGCTATATATCGGGTAAATAAACCGTCGAGTAAATAAACCGGCTAGGTTAAAAAGTACATTGGTAAAATTAAAGGTTCGGTCCGTTTTGGACGACTTACTTCTAACTCGTCTGTCGGATAATGTACATCGGACGACTTAATTATAAGTCGTCTGACTTATAATTAAGTCATCTGACAAATCTTCCGGCTGGATGACTTTCCAGACGACTTAAATATTAGTCGTCTACTAAGTCGTCCAGGATTTATGAGTATGTTTTAAGAATTTGTGTTAGAATTTGTGTTAGACTTCTTAAACGACTAATAGTTAAGTCGTCTGACAAATCTTCCGGCTGGATGACTTTCCAGACGACTTAATTATAAGTCTTCTATATACAGACGACTAAATATTAAGTCGTCCGATGTACATTATCCGACAGACGACTAATTATAATAGTTGATCTTCCATTACAAGTCAAAGGTTTAAAACATTTTAAAACAAGGGAACAACAACATAGAAGTCATCCATTACAAGTCCACTAGAAGCAGATTACAATAAGACAATAGCAAGACAAACAACATCTCATTTAGGAAGAGACGAGAAAGTTGAGGCACCATCCGCAGCATCATCCACTTGAGGAGGACCGAAAGGAGTCACATGAAATACCATGTCTCCTTCCTTATTGAACACGACAATGTCACCGATGCAGAGGGAGTGTGCTTGGGCGAAGGCTTTCCAACCATCGGTGAGTCTTCTTCTTTCTTGTATAACTTCCCAAGTTTGGTGTGAAGCGTCCGATCGTAGTGTCAATTTTCCTTGGTTCGGCTTGCCTTCTATGTGTTTTGAATAGAAGCAAGTGGTATTGTCTACAAGTCAAAAAAGGAGAAGTTAAGCAAAGGAAATAAACAGAGGAGAAATAGAGAGCGTGTGTATACCACACCACTGCAGAAACCAAGAAGCAGAGGCTTCAAGAAGTAAGGTTCATGCTGATTCGCCATCTGCAAACAAGAAACGAAATGGAAACATTTTAATTCTAAGTCTGGAAGACTTAATATAAGTCGTCTGGGTCGTCCACCTGGAAGAATTTCCAGACGACTTATATTAAGTCGTACGGGTCGTCCACCTGGAAGACTTTCCAGACGACTTAATTATAAGCCTACCAAGACTTCCAGTAGAACATTTGAAAGCTGACCAGACGAATGAGAGGAGAACAACATCCAACCTAACTATACCACAAATCGATTGAAATCCCCAATCTTGGAAACCCTAATTTGAAATGAAAATATCCACAAATTGCTTGAAATCACAAATCGTAACCGTGAAATGAGAGGAAAACAACATCCAACCTAACTAAACAACAAATCGACTAAAATCCCCAATTTTTGAAACCCTAATTTGAAACCAAAATTTCCCGAAATCGTTGAAAACACAAAACCAAACGGTAAAAGTAAAGGAAAACAACATCCATCCTAATAAAAACCATAAATCTGCAAGAGAAGCCTTCGATTTACCTTGGTCTTGTATCGGATCGAAATCGCCTCGAAATCACATTTGAGAGAAACGGCGTTAGGGTTTACTGAATTTCGCGAAAAAGTGAGTAAAAAAAAAACATCTTATATATGTCCGGTCAAAAATACGGTTAGGTTTAAAAGTAATTTGGTAAAATCCGGTTTGGACGACTTATAATTAAGTCGTTTGTTGATACTATAAGACGACTAAGTCGTCTGCCTTATTAAATATATTTACCAGACGACTTAATTATAAGTCGTCCAAACCCTAAACCCTAAACTAAATTGACTAAATTAACTAACTAACCACGTTATAAAATCAAATTATACTTAAATATTGTTTACTATACACAGAAATAAACACACTTAGGTAAATTTTTAATTTTTCAAGAAAACATTTATGCTTTCGAAAATCTAACCCTAAGAAACACATACAATACTACAACATATGTTGGTGAAACCTAAACTAAAGAATATCATGACTCACTACTTTCACTCATCTATGCTGAAAACAACTGACTTTTGTTATATCTTAATTTATATCTCTTAAGACATATGTTAATTACATAATTCCAATTTTTCATTTATCAAAATATTTATTACAGAATTTTTAAATTATTTTTAAGAAAAACTGTCCCAGAAGACGATTTGCGAGGGCTAGAAACGTAAGAAAAAAAACATTTTTTTGTTTGTTCACAAGAGGTTGGTTGTAATTTCAACTAGATTTTGACCCGCGCTTGAAAGCGCGGAAATTTTTTTGATTAAAAGTTTATATAATTAGGTTTTGTCTTTATTTAAAGTATGTTTTGGTATAAAATCAGTAATCCAAAATTTGTGGTGATGATTCATTTGCATTAGTTTTTAGTTTCCGTTTTTCTTTTTAGAATTAGTTTTAGATTTTGGTTTCTGGTTTTTAATTTTTAAGTTTCTAGTTTCATCTTTTGGTTTGGGTTTTTAGCTTTTAGATCCGCTGAGTTAGTTTGAACTCATAATTACCAACAAAATCAAATCCCAAAGAATCGAACATCTAATTTAAAACTGAAAACATGACAAAAATATAACATGCGTTTTCAGCTTTTGGTTTTAGATTTTAATTTTGAGATTTGGTTTTTAGTTTCCTTTACATTTATTTTTTTTAAATTAGTAAATTATTTAAGAAAAAAAAACTATTATAAAAGTTACCATTGAAATTTATCAAGACAGAGTGATTGTTATTTAAAATAAAAAAGTATTAACATGTTTTAAAGCACATGATTTAAATAAGTGATTAATAATATATAATTTTGTTTTGTTAAGATATTAAATACTTTTGGGCCTTAAAATAGTAATTGATTTTTTGATCCATTAAGGTAGAACATTTATTCAATGTTTTTCTGGAGTTTTTTTTTAATACTAAGCCCAAAACCCAAACTATATAATTTGTCATAAAAACAAAAGTAAGCCCAAAACTTTATTCCATAAATAACTGCCGGTAAGTAATGGGGTTCAATCAACTATATAACTTGTATTATTTGTAACACTCTAGAAAGGTCCAAATTTAAATGACAACTTATATCAGTAGATAAAAAGAATGACTCTATTTTAATAGAGTAGATAGTCTTTTAAGTTACTTTTGCATTTGATTCAAGTTTGGGTTTACTTTTACATTTCAAATCAAGTTTTGAGTCATATTTGACAATTTTCCTTTTTTTTATAAATTAATAATGTATTAACGACTATATTACACTTATATCTTGAATAATTCATCTAATCGTAGTTTTATAGAAAACGCCTAGTTACCACTTATAGCTCCTTTGAACATAATAATCATTACAATGTTTTTAATCATTCATCTTGTGAGGAAAAACATAATATTTTTATAAATATATTACCAAACAAATATTTCATGAGGTTGCCGAGTAGAATTTTCAACTATTCAAAACATATAGTTAATAAATTATTATTTATTTTTATGTATACAATCTTTTCAGTAGAGTTACTCACTCTTACCTCCCAGAAAAATATACTTTTCAAAATAGTTAATATTAGAATTCCATCTGTTAATATCTTCACTACTTACTTTCAAAGTCTCACCAGACGCAGCGAGACCAATCGGTTAAGCGCAAACATCGGTTCTATTGCGTTCTTGGTTTATACTCGGTCAAAAAGAGATTTATACTATGTTTTGGTATTAAATAAAACTATTTCTCTAGCCTGAACAGATTATTTAGTTATAAGACAATGATTAATCCGGGACTCTTAGGGTGAAGTTCTTATCGGAAGTTAAGAAACTAGTTCTTAATTTTTACTAAGAAAAACTAAAAATCGGTTTTTAAATAAAGAAAAGAAAAAAATCCAACAGCTTGAGAGAGATACAGAGAAAGAGACATAGCTCATCAACCATAGAATCTTTCAAATTTAGACGAAAAGAGAACCTCTAAACAGTTCAAGAAAAGAAAAAAAAAACAGTTCAAATTTTAGATCAAATTCAATGCACAACTGGGTCTGATACAAAAGCTTCTTCACATCCTAAGCCACTCTCATAACTCCAAACCTAGAATTCACTTCTTGCCCTTGCTTGTCTTCTCTGACATTTCTTTAGCTATTCTGGCTTTTCTGTTATTCAACCTGAGACCAAAATAAAAATAAAAAATTGCAATGTCAGATAAAAAAAAAGTAGTGATTCTTCTATGTAGCTAAGAAAGAGGAGGAAGTACCAGTTTCTCAGCTGCAAAGCTGTAACCCTGGGACCCTGCAAAACCGCATAATCAACAAGCTCAGAACCGGTTGCAAACTAAAAAGATTATATATAGTGTAATTGTTGAACTCACATTGTCAGATAAATTCTCAGCCCATGTCCTTATCCAAGCTGAATTTCGCCGTATATCAGGTTCAGCAGCAATGGCCTTCTCCACCTTCTCCATTTGACCATCACTCATAATACTACGCTTCCGTTTCTTCCCCTGTTTCTCATCCTCCTTCTTCACCTCTCCAGATCCACTCCCTTTAAACACCTTATTAACAACAACAGCCTGACCCAACTCTCCACTCTTCCCTCTCTTGTAGCTTTTGTCCAAACCACTGGTTTCAAGATTGCTCTCTTTCAACCGTGGAACTATTTCCATCTCCTCGTTCACGTCATCGTCCACTCGAACATTAGGATTCTCTGAAGCTGTCTCAATGTTAAGATTCAGAGGCTCTTTTGCCTGCTGCATATTAGATGAATTCCCTCTTGGACCTTGACTAGCCTAGAACATAGATAACAATTTTAATAAGTAACACATGTATATAAGAGAGTAAGAAGCTCTTCACCTTCACAGCAGCCTGACTTCCCTCAAATTCAGAAGCTGCGATTAGCGGTTGCAAATGCTTACAAAACACCCTGCAGACGACAACAAAATTTATATCAATGGAGACACAAAAATGTTCCTTACTATTGTCCTAGGTGACTTATTGTAGGATGATTGAGTCACCTAAACATAATTAAATCTTTGTCATCGAGGTCACTAGGGATCAAGAAGTCTGCATGATTCCAGAGAGAACCTACAAATACAAATATCACATCACAATGTAATAAGAAACAAATAATAGATGTGTCGGGGTAAAAAGGTACACACATAAGTTTTTCTGAACACTAGTGGTGGCTCTTTGTGCCACCGGAGTATATGAAGGATCCTTTCGCAATCCACTAACAAAGCTATTAATGAAACGTTTCCTGTCATCTTCTGCATGCGGGTTTCAACAGAAACAATTTCACATATATGATCCTCATGTTGGCAAAAGGGACAGAAAGAAAGTGAGGTCACCTGTGCAGATACCAGGAGAGAAGCAGTGAAGATTCGCTATAATTTTAACAAGCAAGGATGTTCTTTGATGCGCGTATGAAGACATGGTCAGGTTATTTTTGAAATTAAGCTTGAATTGAGGTGGGGGCAAAGATGAAAATACACTTAAAACCCATCCAGCTGATTTATACATGTCGTACTCAAGTGTTGCATCGTCTTCCCTTGCAGTAAGATTAGAAGAGCAGAACATTGACACGAACTCTTCATTAGAGAGACGAAACACTTCGCTGAGAGTCACACTCTGTAAAGACGAGATTAAACCTCCTCAATTAGGTAATGAAAGCAAGAGAATTTTTTTGCAAAAAGGCAGGGTAAGTATATTCAATAGTAAATTACTAAATTGTCGGTGAAAAAACGTCGGAAATTTGAGTCATCCGAGAACACATCAGCCAAGCGCATAGCATTAAGTAGCAAAAGACCCTTTGGATAGTCAGGAGAAGCTCTACTACCAATGGGAGGTCCAGTAAGGCCATGCTTCAATAAGCTAATGACCTACAATTACGTATATATATAGCAACACTAAATTAAATTAGTCTACACTAACTTTAGAGCTAGCAGAAACTCCTTATTAAGACTATAATAACCTCTGAGGCAATAGGTTGGACTAAATGCAAGTTTCCTGCACGTACAACCTCGTCAAGGAATGAGACATTTTTATCCTCTTCAAACAAATGGTACAACTGCAACAACATAAAACTTTGGTATGAGTTTGTGAAACAGAGAAACAGTATATGCTGCTAAGTTACAATAGACTTACAAGTGATAGGACTTTTGCTTTTATTCTTCGCATGGAAGCTATTGTTTCGGCTTCTCTTACAAATTCAGTTGAAACACCTAGGTGCTGTTCGTTTGCTCACCCAGGTGATCCATCTGGGTGAAGATGCAAATCAATGTTCGTTTTGTACATTAAAATGCTACATCTAGATGGATCACCCAACTGATTTCTTAAAAACTCATCTCAAATTCTCACCCAAATGAGGGTGAGTCTTGATGGTGCATCTGGATGCAGATGCATCTAATTCAGTCCAAAATCATAAATGACAAAAATAACCTTTTCAAATAAATATAATTTTTCAAACCAAAAATACTAAATTTTTTTGAAAAAATATCTTTCCGTAAAAACCAAAAAATATTTTTTCGCCAAAATCGTAAAAACCGAAAATGTATTTTCCACCAAAATCGTAAAAATACACTTTCTCGCCAAAACCGCAAAAATACATATTCCCGCCAAAAATGCATTTTGCTACCAAAACCACAAAAACGCAGTTTCACGCCAAAACCGTAAAAATGTGTGTTTCCCGCTAAAACCGTAAAAACACATAAAACACGTTTTCCAGCCAAAACTGTAAAACACATTTTCTACCAAAACCGTAAAAATACATTTTCCCACCAAAACCGCAAAAAATGCGTTTTCCCGCCAAAACCGTAAAAACAGGTTTTCATGCCAAAACCATAAAAATTTATTTTCCCGCCAAAACTGCAAAAACGCGTTTTTCCACCAAAATCGTAAAAATACACTTTCTCGCCAAAACCGCAAAAATACATATTCCCGCCAAAAATGCATTTTGCTGCCAAAACCACAAAAACGCATTTTCACG